GCTGAACTGAGACTCCAATTCTGAGGGCTACAGCTGTCTCCCCCACTTCCAGGGGGCCAGAGCCGGGGTGCCCTGGGTGCCTGCCTCCATGGTACCTTGACCGCCCTGCCTGCTGGCCTGAGTGACTTGGCCTGCCTGGCCCATCTGGACCTGAGCTTCAACAGACTGAAGACACTGCCGACCTGCATCCTGGAACTGCGCAAATTGGATGCGTTGCTGCTTTCTCACAACTGTCTCTCAGAGCTGCCGGAGGCTCTGGGGGCCCTGCCCACCCTTACTTTCCTTTCTGTGAGACACAACTGCCTAGAAAGGTTACCCACAACACTGGGGTCCCTGTCCACCCTTCAGCGTCTCGATCTCTCTGAGAATCTTCTAGACACCATACCCTCTGAGATTGGAGACCTGAGCAGCCTCATTGAACTCAATCTGGCCTCCAACCGGCTGCAGAACCTCCCGGCCTCCCTTGGTGAGTAGCCATGGTACCAGCTTTGCTTCACCAGCTAATGTAGAGTGCCCCTCGGCCACTGCCTAGACCTCCGCTCCCATGGGGGTCCCTGTAGCCCTAAAGTCTTGGGACTGGCTTGGCCAAGAACCTTTAGTGCTCCCGGGTGGCCCCTGACTTGGCTTCTGCCTGCTTGGTTGCTCGTAGCTCACATGCGTCTTTGTCCCACCATGTGATAGAGCCTGAAGCCTTCCTTTAGTGTGTCTTGTCAAGGCGCCCAGGGCCACCATGAGTAGCTCTCTGCCAATCCTAAGCCAGCACTTGCCTGCAGCGGGGCTGCGGTCCCTGCAGATCCTTGTTCTGCACAGCAATCTCCTGACCTCAGTGCCCACTGGCTTGGCCCACCTGCCACTGATCACTCGGCTTGACCTGAGGGACAACCAGCTCCGGGACCTGCCTGCAGAGCTACTAGAAGCTCCCTTTGTCCGCCTGCAGGGGAACCCTCTAGGGGAGGCCTCTCCAGCACCTCTAAGTCCCCCAGGTAGGCTTGTCCCTGGGGCGTGGCCAGGCTGTGAGAGGATGAAGGCCCCTCATCATTCTGACCTCATACCTGTCCCTTGTGCAGACATATCCCCGAGTCCAGAAATGCCCAGGCTTTTCCTGACCTCAGATTTGGACAGGTATCTATCGGTGGGAAGGTGACTAGAAGACATCTGTCTACCCTGTCTCCCTGGTCACGTCAGGGTACCTGCCCTCATACCTCTTTCCTCGCTCAGCTTCCTAGTGACTCCCCATGGCTGTTCTGTGACCCTGGCCTGTGGTGTCCGCCTCCAGTTCCCAGCAGGAGCTACCGCCACCCCCATCACCATCCACTATAGACTGTGGCTGCCGGAGCCCCACCTGGTCTCCCTGGGACCTCATGACTTCCTGCTTAGTGGTGTTCTGGAGCTGCAGCCCCATGGGGTGGCTTTCCAGCAGGTATGTCAAGGATGGGTGGAGGGCAGACATGGCCTAGGCCTGGCCCTCCTACACATTACCATTGCCTGACAGGATGTGAGCTTATGGCTGCTCTTTGTCCCCCCACGAGTCCGTCGCTGCCGTGAGGTAGTTGTGAGGACACGGAGTGACAACAACTGGAATGACCTAGAAACCCACCTGGAGGAAGAGGCACCCAAGGTGACAGCTGCCTAGGCCCTTGGGAGTGAGGGGGCAGGAGCAGCCTGCCCTGACACCACCCACCCCTGCCCACTGTCCCTGACCTGACCCTACCCTCCCATGTGTTCCAGAGGCTCTGGGCTCGATGTCAGGTGCCCCATTTCTCTTGGTTCCTTGTCGTTTTACGCCCTGTATCCAACACTTGCCTGTTGCCACCAGAGGGAGCACTTCTCTGCTCCTCAGGTCATCCTGGGGTCAAAGTCACCTTTCCCTCTGGGGCCACAGAAGAGCCCCGGCAAGTCTCCATGCAGGTATAGTCAGGGCAGTGCCGAGGGTGGCAGCAGGTGCCTCACCATGCAGGAGGATCCTCAAACGGTTCTCTGTCCAGGTGGTGCATATGGCTGGCCTAGAGCTGAGAGCGCTCTTGGAAGAAGCAGAGGCGTCGGTGAGCCCCTTGCTGTGCCTCTCACAGAGTGGCCCCCCCAGCTTCCTACAACCAGTCACTGTGCAGTTGCCCTTGCCCCCTGGCGTTACAGGTGAGGCTGCACGTTATAAGACCGAAGATGGGTGTGAGAAGGGGAAGCTGCTTGTAGAGGGCTTTCAGCCTTCTGCCATTTCCTGTCCAGGTTTCGGTCTGGACCGCTCCCACCTTCATCTGCTGCACCGAACACCCTCGGCAGCCACCTGGGATGACATCACCGCTCAGGTGGCGTTAGAACTCACCCACCTGTATGCACGCTTCCAGGTCACACACTTCTCCTGGTCAGTGTCCCCCTAGCTTCCTCAGCACCCCATCTGCCCTTCATCTGAATGGCCACACCTCAACTCTGGCACTTGCAGGTACTGGCTCTGGTATACCACCAAAACCTGTGTGGGGGGCCTGGCCCGGAAGGCCTGGGAACGGCTGCGGCTGCACCGTGTAAACCTCATTGCATTGCAGAGGCGTCGGGACCCTGAGCAGGTCCTGCTGCAGTGCCTGCCCCGGAACAAGGTGGGGCGGCAGGAAAGCAGCGGGGTGACTGGAAGGCTAGGGTGGGTACGGAACTTTGGCTTCCAGTCCCTGTGGGTGCTCCACAGGTGGATGCCACCCTCTCTCGTCTGCTGGATCGATACCACGGCCCTGAGCCCTCTGATACTGTGGAGATGTTTGAGGGTGAGAAGTTCTTTGCAGCCTTTGAGCGGGGCATTGATGTAGATGCTGGTAGGTCTCTTCTTCGGGGCGGGGCACACTGAGGTCTGATACTTTGACCCCTCCTACTGAGTTTGCCCCCCTCCACAGACCGTCCAGACTGCGTGGATGGCAGGATCTGCTTTGTTTTCTATTCACATCTGAAGAATGTGAAGGAGGTGTACATTACCACAACCTTGGACCGGGAAGCTCAGGCCGTTCGAGGCCAGGTGGGTTGATGTGTCAGGACCCCCAAAGTACCTGGACTGGGGCCAGAGCCCTGAACCCCACCTGATCCTTCCCCAGGTGTCCTTTTATCGGGGCTCACTTCCCATGGAGGTGCCTCAAGAGGCTGAGGCTGCCCGCCAGAGGAAGGGCACGGATGCACTGTGGATGGCCACCTTGCCCATCAAGCTGCCGGTGAGGCTGGAGAGGCGTGAGCTGACAGGAGACATAGTCCCAGGGTGACCAAACACAAGAGGGTGGGTTCAAGCTTACTGTACCCTTGCCTCCTGACAGAGACTTCGGGGGGCCCCAGGGAAGTGGGCAGGGCACTGATTTCTCCCTGATGCCTCTGAACCTGGGTGATGCAGAAACTGGTTTCCTGACTCAGAGCAACCTGCTGAGTGTGGCCTCGCGCCTAGGTCCTGACTGGCCAGCCGTGGCCCTGCACCTAGGCATGCCCTACCGTGAGCTACAGCGTATCCGGCATGAATTCAGGTGAGCCTCATGAATTCTAGTGAGCATTCTCACTCCCAGCCTTAGCTTCAGGGCCAACCCCACATCCCCCACCACACACAGACACCCTCCACCCCTACCTCCCCACACCCTACCACACACAGACACCCCACCACCACCCAGGCCCCCCCCACACCCCTATCTCCCTGCCCCCCAGCCCCACAAACACACTAGCTGAAAGCTTTCAAGATGATGGAGGTGGAGCAAACACCAGCCTGGAAAAGGAAGGTCTGGTCACTAGCCCAAGGAGCAAAGAACTCCATCCATTTTGAACAGTGAGCCTCTGTACGTGGTGTGTGGTCCTGGACAGAACACCTTCATCACCACTGTTTTCCCCTCCAAGGGATGACCTAGATGGGCAGATCCGCCACATGCTCTTCTCCTGGGCTGAGCGCCAGGCTGGACAGCCTGGGGCTGTGGGACACTTGGTACAGGCCTTGGAACAGAGTGACCGGCAGGATGTGGCTGAAGAAGTACGAGCCATCTTGGAGCTTGGCCGCCACAAGTATCAGGACAGCATCCGGCGCACAGGACTGGCCTCTGAGGACTCTACTGTGCCCGGCACCTCGGCTTCACAGGCCCCAGAGTCTTCCCAGGCCTAAGCTTAGCTGGCCTTTGACTTGCCTTGGCCAGTGGGCAGAACCCTCCCCTCTCCTTCTACCTCACCTGTGTGGTACAGTGCCCCAGCATACAAAAGCTTCCTCATAGTTTTGAAAGTTTGGTTTACTTACTCTTGGAGAGTCTAGCGCAAGCTACCCTCCAACTCCCAGTACACCTCAGAGGTTGACTTACATATGGGATAGAGGGGAGGGCTGCCTAAGTGAGCTGAAGCCTAGTCCCTGGGTGTGTCCGCATCGCCTTCCATGCTAAGTCCTCCCGTTAAGATGAGGGCAGAGAAGGCCTGGAGAGACGGTTCAGCAGTTAACAGCACTGGCTGCTCTTCCAGGGGACCCAGTTTCAATTTCTAGCGCCTACAAGGGGGCTCTCAACAGTCTGTAACTCAAGTTCCAGAGGATCGGACACCCTCATCTGGCTTCCACAGCACAGACATGCATGCAGGCAAAACATCCATATGCATAAAATAAAAGCTATTTATTGTGTGTATGTGTCAGCGGATAACTGCAGAGGTTGCTCTCCCTCGCATGTGCTCCCTGGGAATGAACTCAGGGTCATCAGGCTTGGTTGCAAACACCTTTACCCAGGGAGCCGTTTCTAGGTCCTCGTGTGTCTTCCTCAGGGATGGGGAGGAGCCGTTGTACATCTACATCTGCAGCAGGTGTGGATACAAAGTTATCTGTGACAGCTCTGCGCCTGCCCACCGTGGTCTCCTGGGCGGTGTCTAAGGAGCATCTGTCTCCCCCAGGTCACGCCTTACACGTTTCCTGCCACCTGTTCTTGGTCTCTACCCCGGCATGAGGTGGAAAGACCAAAGAGAGGGCCTAGGGATACGGGAGGGAGCCCACACCCCCTCAAGGGTGGCCTGAGGCTGTGGCAGTGACCACGCCGGCCGGGAGGGGGAGTCGACGGCAGCGAGGGTTTAGGGCGGAGCGGGCGCGCCTCCGAGAGACGCGCCTCCCAGCTTAGGTGCAGGCCCCGCGCGCGGCACAGCGGGGAGGCGATCCCGGCGGCGGCCGTGTGGTGAGTGCTAGCCGGTCAGTTTCTGTGGCGCCCACTCAAATCTGGCTGGCTTGCGGGGTGGAAAGGGGTGGTATTGGTGGCTGGGAGAGGTGACATCTGTTCAGACACTGCGTCTCCGGCAGAGCCTGGACCTGCGGGTACCTTGACCCGCTGTCTCTCGGGTGTTTCGGAAGGCCGTGCTCGGTCCCGGCGCTGCCGGGCGCGCTCCCTGCACACGTGTCCCAGCAGTGTGAAAACCCCAGAGCTGAAGATTTTATTTTTTTGCCGGGGTGGGGGCGCCGCACACGTGGGAACCCGGTGGACGTGCGTGGGCACGTACATGGTCAGAGTCTGCGTCGTCTGGCTGGAGATAGCGAGGCCAGCTCAGCTCCGACCGTAGGGTAAAGGGTATGATATGTCTTGGAGCAGAGGATGTGCTCCATCCCTGGTTTTTCTTTGTGGTCCGCTAGGGCATCTCGCAGTGAAGCACTCTTTGCAGCCCTTCTAGTTAGCAAGGCAGAGAGAGCTAACTCCCTAAGAGGAAGGGGTGAGGGAGACTGGATTGGGGGAGGGGCACGCGGGATTCAGCCCCAGCCCAGTCTTTTTTCCTTTTCCTTTCCTCCTCTTTCTTCCTTTTCCTCTCTCTCTCTCTCTCTCTCTCTCTCTCTCTCTCTCTCTCTCTCTCTCTCTCTCTCTCTCTCTCCCTCTCTCCCTCTCCCTCTCCCTCTCTCCCTCTCCCTCTCCCTCTCCCTCTCCCTCTCCCTCTCCCTCTCCCTCTCCCTCTCCGTCTCTCTCTTTTTCTTTATTCTGAGACAGGGGTCTCTGTGTGGCGCTGGCTGTCCTGGAACTCTCTGTGTAGACCAGGCTGACTTCGAACTCAACAGAAATCCACTTGCCTTTATCTCCCAAGTGTTGGCTATGTGAGCGCCACCACCACCTGACTGCTTTTCTTTTAGGTAGGAAATGGGCAGCTTCATTCGTGGAAATGTGGGGGAAAGGTGTGTGGAGCTGTTAGCCTCTGTATGCTAGACTCATCTTTCTCAGTGGGCCGTGGCCTGACTGGGGAAGGTTGAGCCAGCTAGGCAGAAAGCTCTGGATCCTCAGCCTTTAGACTGGACCGTCATGTTTCTATGGTAACAAGCTCTTTAGCGCCAGCACTTCGAGGTAGAGGCAGAGGCAGAAAGATCTGAGTTTGAGGCCAAGCCTGGTCTACAGAGGAAGTTCTAGGACAGCCCTGGATCCACAGAGAAATCTGGGGGGGGGGGGTGACAAAAACAACCCCTGGGGATGGGAGAGGGAGAGAACAGCCCAGAGGGCTCCCTTGCCTGTTTTCCCAAGCAACAGAGCCCCTCATTCTCAGCTAAGCAACTGTCCTGTCTGGTGTTTGCCTGTTTTGTTCTGGGTGCAGGGCTGACTCAGCCCATGGGATCTCAGTGCCTGCCTGTCTCTTCCCTACTAGCTTCTGACTTCTCAGGCACGAACAACACCCAGGTGCCCAGAGTCCAGATGTGAGGAGAGATAGCACCTGAGGGACCCCGGGCTCACTATTCCTGAGGGCAGAGGCACAGGGAAGGATGGAGAAGGAACGGCAGGAGAGCTGCTGTAGCTAGTTTACATCTGGAGCATGGGCTGTGTGGGGAGGGAGAAATCAGACTGTGGTTCAGAGGTCAGGCTTTTGTCACATACCAGGCTTAGGAGGGACAGATACTCTTCCACTCAGGCCCCTGGTCTGCAGAGGTGGGGCAGAGGGCAGAGGGCACCCGGAGTACCACCCCCATGTCCTCTGGACCTGCCAGGTGAGCAGGGCGTGTGCTTGACAGTGGCCTTTGATAGTGAGGCATCCCTTCGTTGCTCTTTCCAGAGAGCAGGCATACCATTTTGTAGCCTGACCTAAGGTTCCCGATGGGTACACCCGAGTCTCACAGCACAGTGAGTGTTGTCCCGTGCCTGGAGTTCCAGGGCCATAGACAGATCTGTGCCCGGCTCATAGGCTGCAGACAGAAACCTACTGAGTGGCCTCAGAATTTGGTGGCCTGGGATGCGGTCCCTGTGGTTCTCATGGTTAAAGTCTGTCCCTTCTTTAGCTCCCAGGCTGGGCCCAGCCCCAGACCCCCAGAAGTTGTCTCACCCCTCACGGCCTTTACCCGAAGCTGCAGAGATTATCATCTAGCCCAAAGTGAAAGAGAAAGTCCTCCCCCCGAGGCCCGCCCCGCCCCGCCCCTCGGCCAATCCCTGTAGCCTTTCGCCTCCTCCCCCTGGCCAGCCTCTTTTATCTCCTCAGTGAGCCAGCTTGCTCTGGAGCGGTGGAGGAGCAGTTGTGCCCACTCTGGGGTACGCTCAGGGTGAGCAGAACCCAGCAGCTTGTGTGGGGAGAGGAGGTAGCAGGCTCAGGGTCACAAGTCCAGTGGGGACTCTTAATTGTGAGACAACCATGTGACCCCATGTGGCAGCTCTGGGGACACTAACATGTGTGTGACAGCTGACCTCTGAGGGCTCAGGGAGATACACAGGGGAGGACCAGGACTCCTGGAACCCACTCTAGCTTAGTTTTTATGATTGTGTCCTTCGGGGGAGCGCCCCCCCCCAAGGCTGGCTCTTAGATTCCCATCCATGCTGCTAATAGAAGAGGCCCTTCCCCCCCCCCAGGGGATAGGGTATACCGGTCACAGATGCCTTGGGAGACAGACATCCCTCTGCTTCCCTCCTCATACCGTTTATCCCTGCCCTGTCTTCCCCAAGTCCTTATCCCTGGACTCCCGTGTCCCTTGGGAAGTGGTCAGGAAGCTGGGCAACCAGCTCAGTGTGGGTGGGCATCATGCTTCTCTGTGGGAAAGGGGCTCCATGACCCAGAGTGAGGCGCTGTGGAACTAGGTCTGCTCTGCCCAGGAGCGCCACAAAGGAGAAGACACCACCACCCTATCCCACTGAAAATGGCAGATGCTAGCTGCCTCTGCTCAGGGATGGGAATGATTACCACAGCTCAAGTACAGGGTCCCAAGTACCACTGCACTAAAAGGCACCTGGCCCTTTAAAAGCTGGAGCTTGCCTTCTGTGCGTGCTTATGCGTGTGTGAGCGTGAGTTCCTGACTGCCTGGGAGGACGCCGTGGGGAGGGCATTGAAGGAAAGCCAGGTGGCTCCAGGGATGGGTGGCCTCCCTTTCTTCCTTCACCCACCCCCCAGGGCACTTTGATGGCTGCAGCCTGCAGTATGGGGTCTAGGGAGTGTGGGGCTTTGATGGTTGGTGGGTGGGGAGGCTCCTTTCTCTGTTAGGCCCCCACCTGTCACTCATTCTGTCCCTTTCTTTCTTTCAGGTGGCAGGAGTCTTGAAATTGCTCTGAAGGTGAGGACATCCCCTCCCCCACCATCAGCCACCACCGCCAGCCACCCACGTTGTCCTCATCAGCCCCTCCCCATCAGCACCACTTGCATCGCCTGGCCCGCCTGGCCCGAGTCAACCTCCTGCATCACTTGGTGTAAATGGCTGATAAGCAGATCAGGTCAGAGGGACCCCAAGCCCTGGGCTTCAGTCTTGGCTTTCACTCCTTCCCCAGCATGACCTCCCCATCCCCCTGTCCTGTGGGTGAGGATGTTAGTCCTGACACTTGACCCTGCATACACAGCCTGCCGGCCAAGCTCATCAATGGTGGCATCGCTGGGCTAATCGGGGTCACCTGTGTGTTCCCCATCGACCTGGCTAAGACACGGCTGCAGAACCAGCAGAATGGCCAGCGCATGTATGCCAGCATGTGAGTGAGGACAGCACAGGCGGGAGGCACAGCTTCCACCTGTGAGCTCCACTCTGCACCCCTGGGCTGGGTTAGGGGGGCAGGGTGGGCCAGACCTGAGGGAGAGTCTATCCCTGGCAGAGTGTTTGGCTTCTCTCTGGGCCCTGGAATATCATACTGGGCAGAGAAAGCACTGGCTGCCCTTGCCTGACTCAGGGCCAGGGCCCCGCTGGCCACAGCTTATTGCCATTCCCTTGGCTACAGGTCTGACTGCCTCATCAAGACCATCCGCTCTGAGGGCTACTTCGGCATGTACAGAGGTGAGGCTTGGGATGGGTGACAGGCGGTCTGGCTGGGAGTAGGGTCAGAGATGCATGCCTGGGCTTGGGCTGTAAGTATGGACGTGTTATGTGTTGCTGGTGCACCCAAGCACAATGGGACATCTGCCACCCCTCATGCTGGGAGAATTGGATGTCTGAGGGGATTTCTTTTGTGGGGTGGGCTCTCAACCCTCACTTGACCACTCTCCTATCCCCTACTAATAGAGCAGGACAGGGTGTGTTTCTTCTTCTCTATCTTGGTGGTTCAAATCTCCTCCACTACTTTATGTGACAGGACCACATCTGTGCCTAGAAGGCAGGGCAGGGGGCATTATGTAAAGCAGCTTAGAAAACAATCCCTGAGGGTGGATTTGCCCAGATGCTGAGCCCTCAACAGCCTTCCCTGAGCCCTGACCCACACTGAGCTCCCACCATTGGGAGCACCTGTCCCCAGGAAGGAGGCTCACCACAGTCTCTAGGGGCCTGCTCCTCACTGCCTTCCAGGAGAGGCCTGCTCTGCCAAAAATCAGAGACAGATGGAGGTGGAATTCTGGGGAGGGCAAACAGGGAGGGGAGGGAGGACACAGCGCCACCCCATCCTGCCTGGTTCCTGCCTGCCTGGCACAAAACAAGCCCATATGTGGGTGAGAGGGCAGGAGGCTGCAGCCAAGGAGTGCCAGGCAGGGCTTTGCCAGCGTGGAGCAAAGTGCTATCCCAAAACATCCCTAACCCGAGCTACCCAGCTAGTCAGTCCCCACCTGACCTACCTGTGTCCCCCAAGCCTCAGCTGACCCTCATATGCCCCACAGGAGCAGCAGTAAACCTGACCCTTGTCACCCCCGAGAAGGCTATCAAGCTGGCAGCTAATGACTTCTTCAGACATCAGCTCTCTAAGGATGGGTAAGAGGCTCGGCCACCCTAGCTGCTGGGGCCCGGGTCCTAAGGAAGGGTGTGTTGCTAATCCTACCCCTACTCAGCAGTCCCTCTGGCTGGTGTCCCCCAGAGGCTCCTCTACCCCAGTCCCTTTGCTCAACATCCCTGACCTTGTGAGGGCGGGCACTTCCCTGCTGCCGCGAGAGGAGGTATAAAGCATCTGCTGAGTCAGTGGCTGTTGGCCCCTAGCCATTGTCTGCCGCCAGAATTTGGGGGCACTAAGCAGCCACCCCATCACTGGAGTATAGAGCTACAAGTCTAGCCCCTTCTAGTTCCCATTTCTCTTTATGAGCCCTTGCATATAAGATCATCTGTCCTTTAGGCTGGATGCCCGTGCTAGAGGGTCAGGAGCCCAGGGCTGTGCCCCTTGGGACCTCCACGGTTCCCATCCCCCTTTACACCTCTGAAGCAGACAGTCACTGCCCCACGTAGTGTTCCTTATCACCTCAATCACAGCCCTGCCCTTGCCCTGTAGACAGAAGCTGACCCTGCCCAAGGAGATGTTGGCAGGCTGCGGGGCTGGCACCTGCCAGGTGATTGTGACCACCCCCATGGAGATGCTGAAGATCCAGTTGCAAGATGCAGGCCGAATCGGTAAGGTGCAGGGAGGGGACAGAGCCTGGGTGGGGACAACAGCTAGACCCTGTCCCCTGACCCTTCCCCAAGCCAGGAGGAAGAGACCAGAGATCCTTTCTCACCAGCTGCTCAGAGGAAGATTCTAGCTGCCCAGGCCCAGCTCTCGGCCCAGGGAGGTACCCAGCCCTCAGTAGAGGCTCCAGCTGCTCCTCGGCCCACAGCCACCCAGCTGACCCGTGACCTGCTGCGGAACCATGGCATTGCTGGCCTCTACAAGGGACTGGGGGCCACGCTACTCAGGTGGAAAGATGGGCTTGTGGGAAGAAGAGGTCTGTGGGCTAGCCCCTACCATCAGCATCATTCCCGCTTCTCTCCCTCCCTCCCCACAGGGATGTCCCCTTCTCCATTGTCTACTTCCCCTTGTTTGCCAACCTGAACCAGCTGGGCCGCCCACCTTCTGAGGAGAAGTCACCTTTCTATGTGTCCTTCCTGGCAGGCTGTGTGGCTGGGAGTGCAGCCGCTGTGGCTGTCAACCCCTGTGATGGTCAGTGCTTGGGTTTGGCCCACAGTAGGGAGGAGGGCAGGAGGCGAGGTCGCCATAATGACTCATATGTCCCTTGTAGTGGTGAAGACTCGGCTTCAGTCCCTTGAGCGAGGCGTCAATGAGGACACTTACTCAGGGTTCCTGGACTGTGCCAGGTGGGGCCAGGTTCCATGAGCTGGGGCAGGGCTGGGCTGGGCTGGGCATCAGTTCTGAGCATCCTTTCCTTTACAGGAAGATCTGGAGACATGAGGGCCCCTCGGCCTTCCTGAAAGGCGCGTACTGCCGTGCACTGGTCATCGCCCCGCTGTTCGGCATCGCTCAGGTGGTCTACTTCCTGGGCATCGCTGAGTCCCTGCTGGGGCTGCTGCAGGAACCCCAGGCCTAAGCCCGTGCTGCTTCTCCCCAGCCTATGGGCTGAGGCCAGAACAGGGTGACCAGCACAAGCCTGAGAAGGACTGGTCTCTCCCCAGTCCTCCCCATCAAACAGGAAGGCAGGGGGAGGGTGCAGGGTCCACATGGGTGGTACACACATAGGCCCCCATGGGGTCCTGAGGGACAAAAAATTGGGATCAAGGTCTTATTTATGTAGAAAATGCAGAATTCTGTACATTCCTCAAGCCAGTCCTGTTGAGCCAGTCCTGTCCCATCCCTGTACCCAACCCAGTCTCACCTGGCCTGAACACCCCCTGAGACAGAGCTGGTCTCTGGGCTGGGGCTCCCAGGCCTGGTTTGGGCAGGCAGACCCTACCCTGTAGTTCACTGGCTCCGGTCTCTGAGGCTCTCCTGGTCTACAAAGGGGACCCATCTACACATACAAAATTATTTATTGAATTTGCTGTGCCCACGTGGCTCTGCCTGTCTCCGTCCATCGGTCTGTTTGCCCCTGCTGCTCTTTCTGCCTCAACCAGAATCCCACTCTGCCTCCCCAGTCAGCCTTACAGGAGGACTGGAGTGCTCTACCCTCATGTTAAGCTAGGATTCCTAGGCTGGGTGTGTGGCCACATCCATGCGGATCCCAGGCATCCCGCACATACTCTTCCTGGTGAGCCTTTGGGCTCCCACCCTGTGTGGGACCCAGAATGCTTGAGGTCTTTGTGTGCCTGTGATGGGGCAGGTTGCTCTGCTCTGCCCCCAGCAGCCGGCTGACCAGGCTGCATGGGGATAGGCCCTTAAGGGCCCAGTTGCCTTTCCCTGTGGGGTCAGGCATCCCGTGCTTGAGTGCTGTGTCTCAGGTCTTCTGCTGACCCCGTCCAATAATTGACTTCTCCAGCCTGGTGGCTCTTCTGATAGAGCCCTACTCCTGGACAGAGATTGCTTGTGGGGAAAGGGTAGACATGAAGGCCAGTATGGAGCCCGGGCCACCTAGCTTTCTGGGCCTCTGTCCATATTTGGGAAGCCCCCGGCCCCCCCCACGCCCTGGATCCTCTGTTCTGAATCAAATCAGTCCTCCTCCCCTGCCCTGGCCATGTGATTGTGTTTGGTGATTGACTGAAGTGCTGGTGCTGTGTCCCTCAAGCCCGACCCCCTCCGTGGAGGCCCCTTCCCAGTGACACTACCTGGGGCTCAAGCCTGGGCCTCCTACTTCACGGTTGCTCCTGGGAGCCTCCCCTCCTATCATGTCTGTACCTTGGAAGTTGCTGCTCCTGCTTAAAGAATTATATTTTTTTCTTTTGAAGAGTTTAAGAAGTTGTAACTTTTTGTGTCTTGTCATGTAAAAGATAAATAAAATATTCTAAATAGATGCTTGCTTTCAGAGTCTGTGCATGGGTGGGACAGTGGGGACAGGGTGACACATTAGCCAGGCTCTCTCCTCTGCAGACCAGCATTGCCCAGGTCTCAGCCCAGCAGACCCACTCTTGAACCACCTCCTTCCTACCTCAGTCTGGATAAGGGAGGGGCGGGCAGGCAACCTCGCCTGGTCTTTTGGTTCAGCCTCCTTAGATGTGAGAAGTGGAGCTAGGCTTAGGGACACTCTACCCGACCCCACCCCCGGGTTCCCAGGGTGGAGCAGGCAGGCGTGGCCCCGCTGACGCAGCCGCTGTCGCTGCTGCCTGCCCCTCCCCTTGCCGCTGGTCCTCCTGGTCCTGCGCCCGGAGTGGTGCATTATGGGAAACTCCTGAGCACTCCTCGGTATCTGCAGCCGCCGCCCGCTGTCATCCCACCCGCGGGAGTGCGCAGCGAGAAGCTGGAGGTTCGAAGGAAGACGTAAGGAGGCCCTTCCAAGGGCAGACCGGGACTGGGAAGTGGGGTGGGTTGGGGGCACCGGGTCTGGTGGCCAAGCAGTAGTGCTTTGGCCCTGAAGGTCACCGGGGTTGTGGTGTGAACGAACACCTTTCTCTCCCGGGCTCAGCAGCCCTGGGAAGGAAGGCAGAAGAGGCAACTGGAAGAATGGGATATAAGTGAAAGCCAAAAATAACCCGGGACAAATTTGCACTATGCTAACTTGGTGCCCTGTGACTAAGGTCTCTCCAGAACAGTGACATGGAGGGGACTCTGGGTTTTTCTGGTAGGTGGGCAGCATCTGGGTTTCTGCACTGGTCATCTCCATCATGATGTGACCTTCAAATGACCTTCATTATGTTCATTTTGCCTGATGGGGGGCTTGGAGCTTGAGGTCTGGTTTCTTAAAGTGGCTCCCCCTCACTGCATACGGGCGATTGTCCTCCCAGAGTGGAGGCAGGCAGGTGGTCCTGGGTCTTCCAGACGGGCGTCACTGTGGGACAGGGTAGCCAGGCCCCAATCTCCCCAGCTAGGACACAGAGAATCAAGGTGAGGCCTTTCTATAGCCTGAAGTCATTCTCTGTCACCCCATTCTATGTTACTGCCAGGGACACTCTTTGCTCCCATAGCACAGCCAGAAATGCTTGCCCTTGAGCTGGATGAAGTGGAGGCCTGTACAGGAAAGGGCACTAGATTTCAGCTGGGTGGGGCAGATGGCTGACCAGAAGCACAGGCTAGCAGATTCCCAAATGGCTTCTCTGCCTCCATTTTATCAGTCTTGTCCTGAGAGTCCTGGTGACCTGGATCCTTTCACTCTCCCCCAGACAGGATCTGAGAACTCAGACTCTGAGCTCCTTCCCTTCCCTTCCTCTCAGACTCTGGTCAGGCTGAGACCAAGGCCCATCGCATCCAATTCTGAGAAATAGCAACAAGCTCCCAAGATGACATGCAGTGCTCAGCTGTCAGAGCTCACTGTGACTCCTCCCTGCCTCCCTTGAGCAAATCCTCTCTTCCAGTTTCCAGGGTTAGATCCATACGTCTACAGCAATGTGGGGTAGACGCAGTTCATGTGAAGCAAGACTAGGTTACAGGTGAGGAAATGGGCCTCTGGTCCCCCCCAACTTCTCAGTAGTTGGAGGGGCTTCTCCAAGAATGGTCAGAAACAAACAGAGGCCAGTCCTTGGAAGAGGAGGGACTGGCTCACAGGAAGTTGGGTTGGAGCTTCTGGAGAATCCAGGGAATTGAGAAGGTTATCTCCAAGGGCAGGGGCAAGGCCGGGCGAGCTAAACAGAAGGTGCTTTGTTCCCGTTACCACCTCATTTCTGTCTCCCTCTAGACCCATATAATGCCCAGAGGTGAGCTGTCCTGAGACATTGTGATCCAGCCGCCTGCCAGTCCCACAAGCCCCGAGCCAGCTGCCGGCACAAATCGCCATGGAGTCCCGAGGAAAGTCAGCCAGCAGCCCCAAGCCAGACACGAAGATGCCTCAGGCCACAGCTGAGGCCAAGGGCACTCCAGCTGCTGATGGGAAAGCCCCCTCGACCAAGCCTGTGAAGAAGGACACCCAAACAGAGAAGCAGGAGCAACCAACAGCCCCTGGGCCAGCTACTGCCAAGAAGACACCGGCCAAGGCAGACCCTGTACTTCTCAACAATCACAGCAACCTGAAGCCAGCCCCCGCAGTGCCCACAGCCCCCAGCAGTCCTGATGCAACCTCAGAGCCAAAGGGTCCTGGGGATGGGGCAGAGGAAGATGAGTCCAACACTGGAGGCCGAGGTCCCTGGCCTTGTGAGAACTTGACCCCTTTGCTAGTGGCTGGGGGTGTGGCTGTGGCCACCATGGCCCTAATTCTTGGTGTGGTCTTCCTAGCCCGGAAAAAATGATGCCTGGTGTCCAGGTGGGGGCACAGAGCCACTTTCTGTACAGACCTGAATATATAGTGCATGCAAGGTCTTAGATACTTATCTATACATACACACATACATCATACACACACACATACACATACACACACGTATATGTATGCTACATACATCCATGCAGCAGGAGAGAGAGAGACAGTGAGCCCACTTCCACTGACCCCAGCACATTATTTCCCAAGTCCTGGGGCAAGAGCCCAGCCCTGCAGTTTGCAGGAAGCACTAGCATGGGGCAGAGGGGATAGCCTGAACTAAACAACCAGGAACAGATGCTGGGTATGGCCTCTGAAAGCTAAGTGGTGGAGTAGGCTGGCCCTGTAGGGACATTAAAGGGCATGGCTGTTTTACTCCCCTACTTCTCTTTTGTGCAGCTGGGGGCAGTCTGTCTGGGCCTGACACAGGGGGACTGACCCGAGGTGTGAATCAGATCTGCAGAGCTACCTCTGCCCACTGTCCCTGTCCTGGCTGAGTGGAAATAAAGCTTAACAACTAAATTTGGGGTGGGATCCTCCCTTCCCTTTTTCAATATGTGCCCCAGGAGAGCTCCTGAGGCTAGGACCACCTTACCCCATGCCCAGAGCAGCAATTTCTTTTTTGTTTTTTTGGAGGGGTGGGGGGGTTGAAAAACTGGCGGGGAGGTAGGAAATATGGAGGATCCATATTATAGTTACACCAGCCCAATACCCCTTAACAGACTGCCCTTGCCTGCCTGCACCCAACACCCCCTTGAGTCTAACAGCGTATAAATGCAATAACACAGGTAGAGTAGAACTGCCCAGTGGGTGACGACCACCCACTGCCTGCAGGAAGACCTGCTGTGCAGCCCCTCCTTAGTGTGGCTGGCCCCAGCTTGCCCCTTGGTGTGGTGACAGCGGGCAGGTTTCCAGAAGGCTGCAGTGGGTTCTAAGGAAACATTGCCCTCACCTGGCCAGTGACTGTAGGGACCTTGGGCCTGAGTGGAGGCTGAGTTTGAAATAAACTGTTACAATATAAAGGCTGGGCTGGTGTCCTCACCTGCATGGGGCTGGGAGGGGCAGAGACTTCCTACTTGGGTATGTGGGTCACAGATCCATCATGTGGGCTTTCCAGGGAACAGGTAAGAAGTCCTAGGCCCTCCTTCGTGCCCTGATCCTTAATGGGCTATGAGCACCCACAGTCCAACCAGCCCCTCCCCTTTCTCAGGTGATCCTTCCCTGGCCTTTGTGGTACTCTGGAAGCAGATGAACATCCAGGAACTTCACAATAGCAGCCTGCCGCCCTCTTCACCATCAACCTGGGTTGCTGCTCACAGTGCACTGCACAGAGGCTTTGTTCCTCAGTTCGAAACTGCCTGCCAGGTGGGTGGTGGTGGCACACACTTTTAATCCCAGCACTCGGGAGGCAGAGGCAGGAGGATCTCTGAGTTAGATGCTAGCCTGGTCTACAGAGCAAGTTCCAGGACAGCCAGGGCTACAAAGAGAAACCTTGTCTTCAAAAACCAAAAGAAAAAAAAAGTCTGCCTGCCAGCAAGGAGGGCCCCTGCCTCCATGAAGCGCAGGGACTGAAAGTGGGCTCCTTCTCTGACTTCTCTCCCACAGCTCTCTGAGCCCATTCTCCCTGGTGTTCAGCACAGAGCAACTGCTCACAGCTCCAGCTGTGAGTGAGGCTTCAGGGCAGTGTGCTGCAAAGGGCAAGGCTTATTTTAGAACATCACCCTGGGCCCCTTCTCCCCACCCTAGGGGGCTACTGAGGCTGGCAGACAGGAACTTGTTGAGCGCCTCCTCCTGGAGGCTTTCTTAGAGCTGGTGGCTTTTTCTTTCCAATTTCTTGGTGCCCACACTCCTCATAGAAGTCGCTCTGCCCACATAAGATATCCTATTAAATTCTGGACAACCCCAAAAGGGTGAAGACATCCCAAATGGACCACTTGTCCTCGCTCAGACCACTCTTCCTGGTCTCCTTTCAAGTCCAGGTTGGCACCTGCCTGAGCCAAGGCTTCCTAAAGACAGGCTGCTGTGGACATGCTGGACACATGACCACCTCTGACTCATTGGCACTGCAGATGCTGAGGCTGCATTGCCTGGACGTGCACTGCCTCATCTAGTGCTCATATCCATCCATCCTTTGCCTTGCACCTTAAAACACACAAACACTTCCAGGCTTTTTATTGTCCTAGGAGGCAGCAGAAGTGACTGTGAGTTTCTGCCATGGTGAACCTCTGCGAGCTGGCTTTTGAAAGTGATGATCTTCTCATGCTGTTACAACTTTACAGGTTCTCTATTAAAGCACCTTTAGGTTGTTTTTAAAATACTGGTGCTAAGACTGGAGAGATGGCTCAATAGGTAAGAACATTTCAGGGCACCTGGGTTTGATTCCCAGCACCTATGTGATGGCTAACAACCATGTGTAACTGAGGTTCCAAGGCTCTCTGCTGGCCTCCATAGGCAACAGGCATATACATGGTACATAAACAAATACAGGCAAAACACCCACACATGTAAAAATTAATTAAAATATTTGGGGCTGGTGAGATGGCTCAGTGGTTAGGTGTACTGACTGCTCTACCAGAGGTCCTAGGTTTGATCCTCAGTACCTACATGGTGGCAACCTGTAACTGTAGTCCCAGGGAAATAAGCTGCACATACACTGTACATATGCACATGCACATACACATAAAGAGAAATTAGAGCCAGGCAGTGGTGGCCCATGCACTTGGGAGGCAGGGGGAGGTGGATCTTTGTGAGTTCGAGATCACCCTGGTCTACAAAAGCTAGCTCCAGGATAGGCTCCAAAGATACACATGGAAACCCTGTTTCAAAAATAAAAACAAAACTACAAAAAAAAGAAAGGGGACAAAAGAAATTAGATCTTAGCAAAAGAAAATATTGACACCTTAGACAAGGCAGAAATGAAAATCTCTAGTTTGGACCTGGAATATTCTTTACAGGCACTGTTGTATTACAGGCATGGTTGTCCACTGGTACGATACTGGAAGGTAGCAGGAACATCAAGGGTGGAGTCTAGTAAGAGGACTTCTAGCCTGGTGGTGGTGATGGCACATGCCTTTAATCCCAGCACTCAGGAGGCAGAGGCAGTCGGATATCTGTGAGTTTGAGGCCAGCCTGGTCTACAGAGCAAGTGCCAGGACAGCCTCCAAAGCTGCACAAAGAAACCCTGTCCCGGGAGTAAAGAGGGGGAGGGGATTCTTTTCATTTCTTGTCACCAAAAGGTTGTTATTTGTCTGCCTGTTGTTGTTAATTTTTATTTTTTATTTTTTGTTTTTTTGTTTTTTCGAGACAGGGTTTCTCTGTGGTTTTGGAGGCTGCCCTGGAACTCACGTGGTAGTCCAGGCTGGTCTCGAACTCACAGAGATCTGCCTGCCTCTGCCTCCCGAGTGCTGGGATTAAAGGCATGCACCACCAACGCCCGGCTTGTTGTTAATTTTTAAATCAGATATGGTAGCATATACCTCTAATCCGAGCACTCAGGAAGTGAGTTTGATATCAGCCTAGTCTACATAGTGAATTCCAGGATAGTCAGGACTACATAGACACTGTCTCAAAACAAATAAACAAAAAACTAATTAAATGTTTGCCTGGATGTATGTATATGCACTGCACATATATCTTGTGCCTATAGAGGGAAAAGAGAGCATCAGATCTCTGAACTGTCTGTAGTTACAAGCTATTGTGAGTGGCCATGTGTTTATGCTTACCGAGTCCTCTGCAAGAGCAGTTAGTGGTCTTAACCACTGAGCCATCTCTCCAGCCCCTACCAAGAGCTTTTAACTACTGAACTATCTCCCTGGCCTACTTGCCTAGTTTTGTTTCTTTTTTTTTCTTTTTTTTTTGAAACAGCATTTCTCTGTGTAATAGTACTGGCTGTGCTGGGATTCACTTTGCAGACCAGGCTAGCCTTGAACTCACAGAGATCCACCTATCTCTGCCTCCCCAGTGCTGGGATTAAAGGTGTACACCACCCCACTACCACCCAGTGCCTGGAGATATATATATATATGGTTTCAATATGTAACCTTCTACCTCAGCTTCCTGCTTCCTGAGTACTGAGATTAGAGATTACATGAGATTACAGGCTTGCAACACCACCACCATGCCTGGCTAAAAACCAATGGGTGGCAGGAACCAGAGGTCAACTCAGGTCTCAAACCTTGGGCACTGTACAGTTTGTCTACCTTGTTTGTTTTGTCGATTTTAAAATTTTATGTGTATGAGCATTTTGCCTGCATGTATGTCTGTGCAACATTTGCATGCCTGCCTGATGGTGAGAGGTCAGAAGAGGGTGTAGTATCCTTTAGAACTAGAATTACGAATTACAGATGGTTGTAAGCTTCCTCAGAGGTGCTGGGAATTGAACCCAGGTCCTCTGGAAGAACAGCTGGTACTACTGAGGCATCTCTCTAGCCCTGGTTTGCTTTGTTTTGAGACAGACCTCTTACTGGTCTGGGACTAAGTAAACTAGACTGGCTAATCACCAACCCTTAGGGATTCCTCTCTCCATGGTGCTGGGGTTACAATTGTGAGTCACCAGGCCTGGCTTTGTCTAGTTGTTTTGGTTTGGTCTTGGTTTTTCAAGACAGGGTTTCTTTGTGTAGCCCTGGCTGTCTTGGAATTAGCTCTGTAGATCAGGCTAGCCACGGACTCACAGAGATCCACCTGCCTCTGCCTCCTGAGTGCTGGGACTAAAGGCATGGGCTGCCACTGCCTAGCTTATTTCATTATTCCTTTGTTTTTGTTTGATGTGGTTTCTGGGGAATCCAACACGGGTAATCTGGCTGAGCTACTTCCCCCTTACTTTATTATTCATTTTGCATTCTAAGCCTTTAATGCTGCAGCTTATTGCAAATGGTTTCTCAATGCAGCAGAGGTTTACCAAACATCACACAGTCCCGTTACCTTCTGGAATCTTGGTTAGAAGACCTTGCCATGTTATCTAATATCTAGTCCAACAAACTCAGCATGTACTCACTTAATCATCTGTGGGTGATCAGCCAGGGCTCTCAGGGTGTTTCTGTTTCATCAAAGCCAAGATGGCCCCAGCCTCAGAGAGTAGACGGGCCCCTGCTACCCACTTGTGACACTGTCTCCTCTTGCTCTTAGTAGAGCCTGTGTAAATGTCACCTGCCACCTGTGACTGCAGCTCTGCAGGCTCTTTCTTCACTTTCAGAGGGACCTTAGAACTAGGGAGCAAGATAAGCACGGAGGGGGGCTCATAGCTGTTATTTCAACCTTCGGGAGGCAGAGTGTGGAGCGTTTCAGACAGCCTTGGGATATAACATGAGAACATTTTAGAACAACAAAACAAAAAACAGAAAAAGGCTGGAACCGCTGGCTGGAGGCCAAGTCAGGAGGTTAATAAATGCAAGGGTGGCCTGAACTATAAAGGAAAACTTGGTGAGATTCCCGTGAAAACCAGGGTTGGGCTGGGCTGGGATGTGGCGCACGCCTTTAATCCCAGCACTAGGGAAGCAGAGGCAGCCGATCTCTGTGAGTTTGAGGACAGTCTGGTCTACAGAGTTCAGGACAGCCAGAGATGTTACACAAAGACACCCTGTCTGGAAAACTAAAAACAAAAAAATAAGGGTTGGGATGTAAACTAGCAGCGGGGCACTTGCCTACCACGTGCAAAGCTTAAGATCCAGTTTCCAGCTCTGAATAAACAAACACCTGACCAGGTGGCAGAGGTCCCGGAGGTCAGGCTCTAATTCTTCACATGACCTTAAACTCGAGTACAGGAAGGACCCTTCCAGAAGGGAAAAAAGCTTCACAACTCTTGGCAGTCCCAGGGCTGATTAAATTACTTTTCACAACTTTCATAATCAAACAAATGCAAATATAGACACTATTCAGTATGTTTTTAAAAACGTACTCATGTATGCTAAATCACACACAGAACCACAAACACAAATGTTCTGATAGGTCATGTCACCTCCACAGAGGTTGTCCATGGGCTGGCCACTGCTAGAGGGAGTCCTGCTTTGGAGATGACCCCAGGATG